AATTTATTGCGTTTCTTCTTTCCTCTTTAGATCCGTCTAGGGATCCATGTATTGCTTAGTTTAGTATTCATGTGCTTTTGTTTCTTTTAACAAAAGAAATGGTATAAGGTCAGTTATTTTGTTAAAAGTATCAGCTCAATCTGGGGTTTGTCTGATGCTTCATTTGTGATTAGATTCAGGTCATAAGTTTTCGGCAAGAACAATACACCACTTGAGGGCGTGTGCCATCTCGTCCATCAATCCAGGAGGAAAGCCAGGTCTCTCCCCTGTCAAGTTTACTATTAGATATTTTTCTTTTTGCAATTAGATAATTGATTAGTTATTCAGTTTTTCCAAGGGGCTCATTGGATCCGGTATGGGCTTAATAAATCACTCCTCACTTGATCAGCTATCCCACACTTATCCTTGTTCAAACATTGCGCCACCTTGAGTGTTACTTGGGTTTACTTTCTCACCAGATCCTCAACAGTTATTGGCTCTGGCCTGTGATCTGAGCAGCTTGCAGACGCCTTTTCACAGACTCGTGGCACCTACATCCTTCTGCAAGTACATTGATCACCTTTGCCTGCTGGTTTGCGTCTGTCTTCGCATTGTACTGACAGGACATTTGCCATGTCACACAGGTCAGTCGGTCAATAACCCAACAAAGAGGCTGCAGCCATAGGCCAGGGCCGAGCAGTCATCACTGGAATACTTTTCGGTGTCATGGTAATGACTTCTGGCTTACCTTCACAACCTTGTAACTGTGAGGCACCACGTTTATACTGATATGTGATATAACAAAGTAATGTGAATTCTTCTTCTTGTACTAGTGAGTGGCCTGATTATATCTCTCGGCCTCCCAGAGTGCTAGGATGACAGGCGTGAGCCACCGCGCCCGGCCATGAGACTGATTCTTTAACACAAGGGAGTAAAAGCCAAGAAAGAGAAAGCCATAGGACAAGTCAGTCATCCAACAGTGGAAAGGAGTAAAGGGAACTCTCACACTTACAATGAACAACACTGGAAGAGAATAAAATTGGGGCTGACCTCTGATTTGCACAAAGAAAGCAAGAAAACTAAAAATAGGACAATTATTAACTCTAGGGAAAATAAGAAGGTATGAATAAAGGAAAAGTATCATAGTACTTGGCTAAATTCTGAGTAGTCTACATAGTCAAAGTAATAGAAACTTTGAATATTCATTTAAAAAAATTATGGGCTGGGCACAGTGGCTCATGCTTATAATCCCATCACTTTGGGAGGCCAAGGCAGGAGGACTGCTTGATGCCAGCAGTTCAGAGGCCAGAGTGCTAACCATTACACCACGGAACCGCCGCGGATGCCAGTGTTGCCTGGGCAACACTGCAAAATCAGCTGAATGTGGTGGTGCGTGCCTGCAGTCCCAGCTACAGGCTGAGGCAGGAGGAAAACTTGAGCCTAGGAGGTGGATTTACAGTTAGCTGTCACTGTGCCACTGTACTTCAGCCTGGGTGACAGAATGGCTGTCTTTTAAAAAAAAAAAAGCTGTAACTATATTAACGGTACAGGAGCTGGGAGATGTGTGTGTGTGATGGGGGGAGGTGGAGAGGAAAAAGCTAACTCCTGACCTTTCACGCAGGAAGTCAGTGGATAATGGCTAACAAGGGAAATCAAGAGGTAGAGACATACACATGTTATTCACCATGTGGAGGTGAATATCAAAAGAATCAATTAAAGAGGTGCGAAAGGGAAATGCAGCGGAGGGGACCTGGAGACAGGTGTATTTCTTAAATCTTGTATAACTAGTTTACTCTTTGTTTTTTTGTTTCTTGTATTTCTTAAATCTTGTATAACTAGTTTACTCTTTGTTTTTTTGTTTCTTTAAATTTTTTTATTTATTTCTTTTTATTTTTAATCCGGGGGCATGGTGGCGCATGCCTGTAGTCAGCTACTCGGGAGGCTGAGGCAGGAGGATCCCTTGAGCCCAGGAGTTTGAGTTGCTGTGACGAGGTTGCTGTGAGCGAGGCTGACGCCACGGCACTTAGCCCAGGTGACACAGTACACTCTGTTTCAAAAAAAAAAGTCACCACTTTTCTGATTTGGGTAAGAACCACCAATGGATGTAAAACCATTGAGTGAATGGCTGAACAGGATATTCACAGCCTCAAAGTTTCGCCTTCTGGATTACTATTAACAAAGGGAAAACAAGGGAGAAGTCTGATAGACACTACTTTAGCCGAATGACCAAACGCAACTAATGGAAACAAAAATGACATTGCCTTTTGATGTCATGTACTGCGAAGGCAGGTGTATCTACGTGTAGTGTTCTTTCTTTTCTTTTTTTTTTTTTTTTTGGAGACAGTCTCACTCTGTTGCCTGGGCTACAGTGCCGTGGCGTCACCTAGCTCACAGCAACCTCAAACTCCTTGGCTCAAGT